ATGCTGAGACAGCGGCATCTGCAGTACGGGTTGAGATCACACCTCTTTAGAGCTAATCAGTCTCATTCAGATCATCATTAGGCCCATCAGAGAGCTAATGAACACATGACACCTTCACAAAGTCACGAAAGGTCTTCTTGTGCCACATGTAGCCGCTGCTGGCAATGAAGTCATGCTGTTTGCGTGACTAAGAATGGCTCTTGTACGATGTCGCTTCATCTTTCATGTTGATATTGCTTTTTGTCTGTTTGCCCCCCCCCAGCGCAAACACAATCAAATAAGCCAGACCAAGATTCGAGTGGCCTCTACATTGCTCTTCATCTTGGCTGGCTGCATCCTCTTCGTCACTATACCAGCCATCATCTTCAAGCATATTGAAGGATGGACCGGGCTGGAGGCAATCTATTTCGTGGTGATCACACTGACGACTGTTGGGATCGGAGATTATGTTGCAGGTACGGACAGCATTTGGAATTAATGGGGAAAAACCCTCACTTCCCTATGCTTCCCTATACTTCTCACTAGTTGAATTTATCCATGAACCATGTCTAACAGTAGACTTGTAGAATTTTGTCATTTTTATTTCTGAAAGTCTTGAAATTTTCATTGTCAAATGATCATTTGACATTTAGTTTCTTGTGGAGTTTAGTTTCTGTCAAGGAACAGGTCCAGTGGCTTTTGGTTTGCTTTGTTAGGCAAAATGGCTGGAGGGAAGAAATTTACCTACGCAGATGATTGGATTTCATTATAGACTTTGTTTCAATTTAGTACTTGAATAAAACACAGTCCATATAAAAGCAATTTATTGTCTTTCTGAAGCTTCTCTACTGGCAGACACAATGAATTGTCAAGAAAAACCGAGCTAGTCTGATTGCAGTTCTCAGGAAATAGCTTACATGAAATTGGCAGGAGGTTGTGATGTGTGCCTCAAAAGGCGTGCTTGTAGATTTAAAATACAATCGAATGCTCCCACCTCTGAAATGAAAGTGTCATTTATACATCTCTTGCAATCTCTTCCAGGAGGCAATAGAAGAATAGAGTACCGTGAATGGTACAAACCGCTGGTGTGGTTCTGGATCCTGGTTGGAATGGCTTACTTTGCTGCAGTTCTAAGCATGATTGGAGACTGGCTCAGGGTGCTTTCTAAAAATATATATATATATATATATATATATATATATATATATATATATATATATATATATATATATATATATATATAATTATTATTTTGTATGAAAGTGTATTAAACCAACATCAACACAAAGACTACATTCCAAGTATTTGGCATGCATTTTTCCTTTTCTTAATTGTGGGCACTCATATACATAATTAACTCTTACAAAGTTCAAACAATTATTTGCATGGATAACTAAAGGGTTACAGGTTTATTTACCATTGTCATCTTATTAAAGGTGGGTGAGATTAAGGCTCACGCTGCTGAATGGAAGGCCAATGTTCGAGCAGAATTCCGTGAGACCAGGCGTCGACTCAGCGTGGAAGTTCACGACAAACTGCAGAGGGCCGCCACCATTCGCAGTATGGAGCGCAGGCAGCTGGGTTTCGACCAGCGGGCCCATTCCCTAGACATGCTGTCCCCTGAACGTCGAGCTGCCTTCAATAGCCTGGACACCACTAATTACAAGACATCCTCCCAGGAGAGCATCGACACAAAGCTCAACAACTTACGTCTACGAGTTGAGCAGAATGAGCATCGACGGAGTGACCCAAGCCAGGCGTACTCTGAAGATAACATTTTCAACCGCCTTGGTTCAGTCACAAAACTAGCCAAGCGGAACAAGAACAAAGAGTTGAGAAAGAACATCCCAAACGACGGCCGGAAAGCCTTAGATACCTTCACCTGTAATACTCCCACAATGGATGAAGAGAAGAAAGAGGCAGAGGACGAGGAGCTTGAAAAAGAGGTCAACACCAGTCTGACCAACTTACCTCTCTTTGTGGAGAGCCCCAATAAACAAAACGGATTCATGCCTCTACCACCACAGACCAAAGAGGAAGAAAACGAGATAAAACTTGAAGACAAGGAGTTCCATTTGCAGATGGAGCCCTAGAGAGAACCGTGTAGAAAAATAATATAAACCTAAAGTGCCTTTTTTTAGCCCTTACCCTGAGCTGAGATGTGAGAATCTCAATTTCTGCTGTTCATTTATCTGTTCACTGTGTTCTGATAACTTGATAATGGAAATATGGCGACAGTAGCAGCACTGGAAAACAGCTCGTTCTCTTCTTCAGACCACTGAAAAATGCTTGTATAAGTTGGAAAGAATCTCTCCAAACATCCTTGACAACAAACGAAAAATCCGTAGCAAGCTACATTGGCGGTTTGTGACTGAAAGTGCTACACTTCCAATGTACTTTCTGCCAGACTGTACTTCAAGGTCATTTGTCAAGAAGCATAACTGCTCAAAAACAATGTTTGTCAAGATTTTCCACCCATTCAAAATAGAGAAACTTACAAAGAGACATGAATCCCCCATGATCAAAGGTGATAAAACTCTTTGAATATGAAGAAACCATGTTAAATTGGTGACAGGTTGTATATACACGGAGCTCTACTGTCCTGTAAAACAAGTTACGTGCATCAAAATGTGATCCAGATTTATGAAGTTAACCTATAAATCTCAGGGCTTGCAGTCCTACTGTAATTGTTCAATTGTACGGTATGTCTGACATAAAATTTGCTGTGCTCTCATGAAATATTTAAAGCTGTTGCTACACAGTACTGTTTTCATAGTTTGAAATTTTATGACAATGGGACGGAAGAGAAGCCATAAAAGTCATGGTAGACATCATATAAGGCAGAATGTCTAGTAGAGTTTAATCACAAACTACTGAACGTATCTGTTTATTTCATTTAAAGTTCACCCAAAAATTGTGCTCCAAATCTGTATGACTTGTGTTCTGACTCTGTTCTGCAGAACACAAGTGTTTCAAATGTTTTTGACTATGCAATTAAAGTCAGTGAAATCCAAAACAACACATGTTGAACACATTTTCCATTTTTGGGCGTCTTGTCCCTTCAAGTCATTAGCTGCATTCCCATTAGAGATCTGCCCAAAACTTTTGCGACATTTTAAAAATGTCGATAAAAAAACTATTGCGAAATGACGGTATTTCCAATAACCAAAGTTATGCAACTAAAACTTAATTTTTTCCTCTCGCGATAAGTCATGCCAACAGATGCTAGGTTTACGTGTATCGCAGCCACAGCACTAGACATTATTTTTAATCGGAGACGAATGCGGGAAAAAAATATATTTCCATTGCAGTTTTGCAAAATACTCGGACGGACGTACCTGCGGACATACATTTTTTTTTTTAGATATATGGGAGTTTTTGTGAAACTGATGTGTTTCCATTGGGCGGATTTTCAATTCGCATTTTCAATTTGCACAATTTGAAGGGTAATAGAAACACAGCTATTGTCTTGATGCTTATAATTGCAGTAAGTGATTTCTGAAAAACGCTGTTGAAAGTGGATCAGACCGAGCACCACACTTGTAGCCAATCACTAGTAAGGGGCGTGCCCACTCATGATGGGGGTGGTGCCTGATGTATAGCATGTTTGTAAATTTGGGAGCGGAGCTATCAAGATAGGACGTGATCCTTTTGGTTAGGGGTGTGTCTGTTTTGGTCATTTCAAATATCAACAGCGTTTCTCAGAAATCACTTACTGCACCTTTAATTATCACCCAGAATACACAACATTACCACAATGTTACATTGATTTGTGGATGATTAGGGTAGCATTTAAAATTAGTTTGAAACTTGTTTGAAGTCTACTAGACATCGTACATGTGAATGAAAGATGTATATGGCATACTACCGTTTTAGCTTTATGAAAGTTTAGGGTACAGTTCCATTTAGGATTGACAGGAAAATTTTACAATGGTTTTTTTTTCTTTGCCAGAAAACGTCTCAGGTTACGTATGTAACCCTAGTTCCTCGAGGGAACGAGACGCTGCGTCGGAAACGCTAGGGGAACGCCCTTCAGCGTGACGGGCTCTGAACCTCGTGTGTAATCAGACCAATAGATGGGCGAGACGTCACGGCGGGTGACGTAATGACCAGTAAGCTATAAAAGCACGTGCGGTGAGACCAGCGTCGGGACGCCGGAAGTATGGCACCGCGACGCAGCGTCTCGTTCCCTCGAGGAACTAGGGTTACATACGTAACCTGAGACGTTCCTCTTCAGGAGTGCATGAAGCACGGCCCGCATCTCCAGGCAGTTGATGTGCCACGTGAGATGGCGACCACTCCACAGACCGTGGGCAGGGTGGCCACTCATGACCGCTCCCCAACCGGTGAGGGACGCGTCCGTCGCTAGCGTTACGCGGCGACAAGGAGCTCCCAGCACCGGGCCCTGAGCCAAGAGCCAAGGTTTCCTCCACATGTCCAAGGCACGTAGGCATCGCCACTGTAGGGGCCTCATGTACAGCAGGCCAATAGGTATCACGTTGGATGCAGCTGCCATTAGACCCAGCAGTCACTGAAACTGCTTGACACTGCACCCCAGAGGGGACTGCCCTCATAAGTCCTTGGCCAGTGGCGTCAGGACCTTCTTCGGAACTATGAAGTACCGGCTGTAGAACCCGGACTGCCTCGCATGAGGAGGGACCACCTCGATGGCCTCCTTCCTCAAAAGAGTGACTACTTCTTGTTCCATGACCAGAGCCTGCTCGGGGCCCACCAGCGTGGGCGTCCCCTCTCTACAGTGTGCAGGACCCACTGAGACACATTTGGCAGTAGTTTCTACGCTGCCAAAAAGTCTACTAAGGGAATCAGTCTCTCGAGACTGATCTCTGGTGTAATGCGTGCAGCCAAGTCGGTGCCCTGTAACGGCGAACCGGCGGGGAACACCCAAACATGCTGCTCTAGAGACCTCTGCGGAGGTGGCGAGCCTCTTAGCACCGCTACGTTGCCGGGCGGTAACTGAGAGTGGCGCTCACGGGAGACCGCTGTGCCCTGTAACTCCGGCAGGGTTAACAGACCGATCTCCTGAGGGCACTGAGGCAAGACGGACACCGTGTAATGCGGTGTAACCCGCTGCACCCCAGAGGGGACTGCCCTCATGAGTCCTGGGCCAGTGGCGTCAGGACTTTTTGGCCGAGGACCTCTTAGTCTTAAGTACGGTCCGTAGATCCGGCTTAGACTTCGAGGCCCCCGACCTAGAGCGTCGCCTCGACCCACTGTCACGACACGGGGGAGTAGGTGAGGTCACGCTCTGTTTTTCTTTATTTATTTTTATTTTTTTTGTTTTTGGGTTGTTGAGCTAATGTTAATTACTGTTTTCATGTTTGCAATAGTCTAGAGCGAATGCAGCAACGGACTGAATATCTGTAATAAGAAAAAAGCTATGAAAATTTTAAGCAATTTAAAGCATTCAAAACAATTTAGAGACATGGGTCCCTAAAGCATGCTATCGTGCTAATATGTTATAATGCTATGGTATTGATTGTACCACAAACATGTTTCTTGAGACTTTGAAATGTCCATGTTTGAGCTATACTTCAGGCTGCACATGCTAGTAAATTGCTGTTCGCAATATCTGCAGTATCTTGTGCAACCATTACATTCAATGTAGTGAGTGCCTTTTGGAAATAAACTCAGTTGAACAAAAATGGTTTGTTTGCCTTTTTCTCTTTCTACTTTCCATTTTCATAAATGTCCTGAGGCAGTGTTAGGACACTGTTAGAACTTTTCAAATATATAGTTTCTTTGCTTAAAGGTCAACTTGAAATGTAAGAATCCACAAAAAACATCAACAACTGAAAGAACACTCAACGTGCTATTTAAAAATCCTGAGGTAACATTCACTTTCAAATGTGTTTTCCAAGTGTAAGATCATCCTGCACTAAAATAGCAAATACTATGCAACCTTGATGGGCAAGAAATGCCTTTTAAAATAGGCCTTGAATGAAAATTTGCCAAACAGCATTGATCTAAATGTTCAATAACAGGTTAATGTAAAAAATATTTATATAACTATTTGATTGGCTAAATTGTTCACACGGCCCTTTAGTGCCATTACTGCAAGGGAAATTTAAATTCTATTGCAGGCCGTCACTTACATTATTGAGCTATGCAAAGCAACTCTTCTAAGCATTACCGATCGTGACATCTGAGTCAATAATAGTGAAGAAGCTGTAAATGGAGGTAAGTGTAGAAGTAATCTCATTTGGGAACATCTTGAAGGTTTTGTGTGTGTGTGCTTGTGTGTTTGTCTCCATTAATGTGCATCTTATATACTTAAATCTGGCTAACAGGACTAGGGTTAAAATGTCATGTGCCATATATATATATATATTTTTTTTAATTGTATATAACTATTTGATTGGCTAAATTGTTCACACGGCCCTTTAGTGCCATTACTGCAAGGGAAATTTAAATTCTATTGCAGGCCGTCACTTACATTATTGAGCTATGCAAAGCAACTCTTCTAAGCATTACCGATCGTGACATCTGAGTCAATAATAGTGAAGAAGCTGTAAATGGAGGTAAGTGTAGAAGTAATCTCATTTGGGAACATCTTGAAGGTTTTGTGTGTGTGTGCTTGTGTGTTTGTCTCCATTAATGTGCATCTTATATACTTAAATCTGGCTAACAGGACTAGGGTTAAAATGTCATGTGCCATATATATATATATTTTTTTTAATTACACCATTAATAGAATTTAAAAAAAGAAACACTTAGATTGCATAGACTTTCGAGAACAATTTTAAAAAGGGTAATATAAAACATATGGTTACAGGAATGCACTTGCAATGAGGGTCTATAGGGAAACTATTCAACACCAGAATACCAGAATACATATTATATAAAACTGTATAAAATAGGAGGTCCTTTCTCAGGGGAATTCACCAGGTAGGGGCAGACGCCATGAGCATGAGCTCTGAAAACCAAATCTAGTTGGGCCAAAAGGGGGCAACCATCAAAACTTCTTTGTCCTCCCTGATCTTGCACAGGATCTGTGCAATGAGGCTCACTGGAGGAAACATGTTTTTGCGTAGACCCTGGGGCCAGCTGTGCGCCAGTGCATCCGTGCCGAGATGACTATGGAAGCATATAGGTAGCGAAATTCAATTTGAAATGCAATATGCAAAATGGCAATGCAATATTCAAAATGGCAATGTATTTCTGTATTTAAATTTCCATTTTCCATTACCCATACGTGCAAAGTTTGTTGCAAAAGTAAAATGAAAATTAAATTTTATAATTTACATTTGCCATTTCCAACAGTAATCTTAATATGTAAATTAGATGCACATTTGAACGCTTTATAAGTTGCGAAATGAAAATTAAAATATATAACAAAAATTGATTTGATATGTGTAACATGTTCAAGCAGAAATGGTTGCAAAATGATCATTTAAATGCTATTTGTCCTAAATGCATTTAGACTAACAGCTAGAACATTTAGGATTGCATTTTCATCATGACGCCGTGTATGGCAAGTCGTTTTGACTTTTATTCATTCTCAGGATATGAATTCTTGATATCAACAATTAATTAACATTGTTACTAGTGGAAATGTAGATGCTGATATCAAAAATAGCATTTGTTACTAGTAGAAATCTAATTCCTGATATCAAGAATTAACATTTTAACTAGTGAAAATGTAATTGTTGATATCAAGAATTCATATCATGAGAATGAATAAAAGTCAAAACGGCTTGCCATACGCCGTGGGATATGTGTAGCAAAATTCAATTTGAAAATGCATTCCGAGCTAACCACGCCCACCCTCTGTCACTCATTGCTTCAAGGCGGGGATTGGCGGAAGTGTGGTACGTTTGGATTGTTTGAAACATGGTGGCTGGAGATCTGATAAGATCGTTGAATTCACTGGCAGATGAAGTGGAGCGTGAACAGAAATATATGAAGCGTATTCCATGCTAAAATCAAACGTTCGAACGACCGACCGATCGAACGTCTAACCGTCGACCGAACATCTACCGAACGTCTTGAGATTTGAGCGTCTTACACTGCGAGTGACCCACGTGACGTCAGCGTCTTGAAATTAGCTGTTTTTTAAACATTTAAGAGCAATGATTGACGGAGGGTGGGCGTGGTCAGCTCGGAATGCATTTTCAAATTGAATTTTGCTACACATATCCCACGGCGTCATGATGAAAATGCAATCCTAAGTGTTCTAACTGTTAGTCTAAATGCATTTAGGACAAATAGCATTTAAATTATAATTTTGCTACCATTTCTGCTTGAACATGTTACACATCAAATCAATTTGTGTTATACATTTTCATTTTCATTTCGCAACTTATAAAGCGTTCAAATGTGCATGCAATTTACATATTAAGACTACTGTTGGAAATGGCAAATGTAAATTATAAAATTTAATTTTCATTTGACTTTTGCACCAAACTTTGCACGTATGGGTAATGGAAAATGTAAATTTAAATACAAAAATACAATGCCATTTTGAATATTGCATTGCCATTTTGCATATTGCATTTTAAATTGAATTTCGCTACCTATATGCATCCATAGATGAGCCTCGGTCAGGGAGTACCACAGGGTGCAATGGGATGATTCTTGGAAGGCAAATATGTCCACCTGAGCCTCACTGAATCGACTCCATATCAGCTGGACCATCTGGGGATGGTGTCACCATTCTCCACGGAGCATGACCCATCGCAAAAGTGCATCAGCTGCACGATTCAGGTCGCCCGACTCCAAAAGGAGGATATGGTGAGTTGAGACATGCGACTAGAGCGT